CTCTCAAAATGGCTGCCAATACAATTCCAAATAAAACAAAATTCCCCTATATTCTAGTTATACCAAACTTTCCTATTTCGAATACCCAATAATACCTAAATATCTAATTAAGAACACACATAAAGTCAAGAAATCCCTAAGAACTCAAAATGGCCGTCAATACAATTGTAAATAAAACAAAATTTCCCTATATTCTAGTTACACCAAACTTTCCTATTTCGAACACACAACAATACCTAAATATTTAATTAAAAGCACACACGATGTGAAGAAAACCGTTCCGTTTCAAAATGGCCGGCAGTGTGGTTCCAGATAACGCGAAATTCCCTAGATTCTACCATGAATGCGTATCTCGCGTTTTCTCCCAAGTGTGTAGGAACAGCTCAAAGGCTGAAATTGCATTCGATGAATACGCAACAATACGGAACAGGAAACGGGGTTCACGGGTGTGGAAATAAAGTTGTGGAATTGGAGCGACCCTTAATCCTGGCCAAAAACTCTTCCGTACAAGTTAACCAGCGTTCAGCTATGATCTATTGCGTGACTGCACGTACGTATACGAAAGTATCCCCGAAATTGCAAGCCGAAAGTTCCGTATCGAGTAAATCGTCGGTTATCTCACGCGAAAACGTAATCGCAAATAAATATAAGCGCCTCGAAAGGATTGGAAACCAGGCCAGTAAAAAGAAGCGCTGGCAATGATAATGCTCCTCCCTTCTGCACTCGATTGCTGGTTTGTTCGTGACATGCCTCTTAGGGGTGGTTAAAGGGCGCAAGAAGCTTCCGTAATCCTTTCGCCTGCGTTTATGATCATTGACGCTCGTGGCCCCGGCTAATAGAAACTGTAATTAGAAAATGCGAGGGAATTAAGGAATCCTCGTTAATGACCCTAACTTCGTTTCGTGGTGAATTTACATCGCGGTTTAAGGGGCCTGAGGGAGGATGTTCTTGAGTAACGAAAATGAATTTTCTATGAATTTAATTTGTTATGTAATTATGTTTAATTTTGAAGGGCAAGGTTAGGTTAGGTCATGTCATGTCATTGCTATGTGTGGCTATAAATTTTTGTTGAGATTATTTTAAATATCTTTATATATATTTTTTTTATTATTTTTTTGTTCTTATTTAGCTCTGAATTTTGTTATTTTTTTAAATTGGTATGTTTTACGAATTTTCTTGTCTGTTTTTATTAATACATTAATTATCCTGAGGAATTGTTGAATGTTTATATTCAGTTTTAATATACACTTATAAAAGTAGCAGTGACTGTACACTGTTTTGAATACTATTTTTCACTGAATTTATTTTATCGTAATATTTGGATAGTAGCTGTTATATTAATGAAATCATACTGTGGATATGAACGAAAAATATAGGTAATAAAGAAAATAATAATAAAATTGTGAATAAAATGAAATTAATTAAAATAGTGGAATTTATGTAGTTATTAGGTAATTGTTCTTAATAAAGATGGATCATGTGATTTTCATATTTTTAAAATAAATTAGAGGTAACGAGCAATTAATCAGTAATAATATTCATCATTAATTATAATTTATTCGAAACTGTATATCATTATCTACGAGCTTCTGTACGATCTGTTTAATTATCGGTTTTGATCGTATTTAATTACAATTCTTATTTCTGTATTAGAATAATTTTATCAAATACTAATAAAAGTTAATAAGTGTTTTTAAACGTTATTAGTTGGTAATATAGATATAATTAGTTTAACAATATTAAGAAATATTAATTTTAATAAATATTCGAATGACTTCACGAATATGCTAAACAGGATATATTAATTTCAAGGTGAAAACATGGATTATCTTCATAAAATAAATTTCTTCTCTTTAATAATTAATATAATACGTATACTACTAACTTTTCATAGAAATTGGGTTTTAAATTTTTTAATTTCTATCCATTTCTAAATTTCTAAATTTCTATCCATTTCTAAGTTTCCACTTTTTCTAAGTTTCTTAATTCCTACCCTTTCTAAATTTTTTAATTTTTATTCATTTTTAAATTCACACTATTTCTAAGTTTCTTAATTCCCACCGTTTCTAAATTTCAAAATTTCTTAATTTCCATCATTTCTAAATTTTTAAATTCCTATCCATTTCTAAATTTCCACTATTTCTAAGTTTCTTAATTCCCACCATTTCTAAATTTCCACTATTTCTAAGTTTCGTAATTCTCACAATTTCTAAATTTCCAAATTTCTATCCATTTCTAAATTTCTAAATTTCCACTATTTCTAAATTTCTAAATTTTTATGCATTTCTTAATTCCCACCATTTCTAAATTTCTATCCATTTCTAACTTTCCACTATTTCTAAGTTTCTTAATTTCCACCATTTCTAAGGTTCCACTATTTCTAAGTTTGTTAATTCCCACCATATATAAATTTCTAAATTTCTTGATTTCCACCATTTATAAATTTCTAAATACCAGATATAATCGGGTGCAATCCATCACTAACAACATTCTAATCTCCATTATGCCAAAAGACGACCAGCTCCGTCATTTTGACAGGTGCAACAACTTCCAGTATAATTTATTTGAAACCATGTGGTCTTGCTGGTGAATTTCCGTCCGTAATCGATCATGCGCAATCAATAATCGTGTGATCCGATGCTCGATAAATAAGATGGATGATACTAAACCGGAAATCTACCCAGTATCGCGCACCGTGTCCCGACAAATGTTGAACAGATCATTCTACCGAATCTACCGTGTCATCGGGTTAAGCCACGAATAAAATACTGTATGCACCACTTCCGTGGAACGACAATTTGTGTCCGATTCTCATGACGTTCACCCTAATTCTGTATGCTGCTTCCGGATGTATCCGAGATGCGGAAGAGCCAACGGTGAACCTGAAATTCGAGAGCTTCGTTGGTATCCGTCATTTTTACTGTTCGGTAAATCTGTTTGCTGAAAGTGCTATAGATTGATAGTGTTTGCAATGGGTGACAGATACCTTCAACGTTGAAATAATCCTGACCAGCCAGCGCGGAGAAAAATATTTGGGATTTTGACAAATTAATAGCGCAAAGAAGGACCGTGTGTTTTGGGAAAATAATATCTAGATAAATTTGTAAATGGAAATAAAAAATGGATGACGTAGACGACATCGAAGTACAAGAATTTAATCGTGGAGAAAGAGGAGTATAGAGAAAAGAAGAAATGATAAAAATGGTTATGACAAAATGATGGGAAGTTGAAAAATTTGTATGGAGGAAATTTATAAGTAATTAATTATTAAAGTTAAATTTTACGAAGAAATAAAAGAATAATTGTGGATATTGGTTAAAATGTATTAAGAATTGAAAGGATTTGTGTTTATATTAATATGATGAAATATGAAGATATTGATAGAAATGTTACTTTATGAGAATGATTTTGTTGAAGAATTTGAGAGTTCATTAATAGTTAATTTTAGTATTCATAGAACACAAGTTTCAAATTTTTCTTGTAATTTTTATTGCAAATTATAATATCAATTATTCAAAATTTTATAATATTTTACTCATTTTATATTTATTATTGTGTATTAATAAACACATTAATGAATAATGTAATATAAATGATTCATTTTGAGACAGAGGAGAGTATTCAAAAAATTAAACAAAAATTTACAATATTTAATTCTTTAATATAATAAAAATTCAAAATCTAAGGGATATAACAAATATCTTCAAATTTATTTAAAAATTTTATTTGTGTAAAAATTTTTAATCAGTTTTCAGACAATAGAACACGAGACTTTCTATCTATATTTTCCATTAATATCTACAATTTGTAAAATAAAAATTCGGAATTTTTGACACGAAGATTGCTAACAGATAATGAGATATTTCGCACATACTTGTTAATATATGCGAACGCTTGTGCAGCTCCGAGTATATTTGCTTATGTGCATCGCTGACAGCCTTCGTTATTAACTAAAGCTTATCGTTGTACTTGAAACGAGATTAAATGACTCTCGTCTCGGCAGCAAAGTGAAGTATGCTCATCAGTGCACGGAAAATTCATCTACAGAATGATCTGCTGATCGTGCTATACCTTGTTGATAATTTATGAAACACTTTGTAGGAAACTCGTCAAAGAATTTTCTGAGTAATTTGATCTAATCATTTAGTATATCAATGAACACTTGAATTACCTATCTCTAATAAATAACCAAATGCATTATACACAAATGCTGTCAAATTTTGTCAAAAACAGCTACGCATTTTCAGACACTGCAAAAATAAAATATACGAAACAATTTGGTCCAAAAATTTAGTAATTCTAATAACAGCGTTAACAACACTTTGACGACCATTGGCGCCATATTGCCGTGGTACGAATTTCAGCCGCTAGAGACCGCTAGCAAAGCGCCTAAAGAATACACGATACTCTGTTAAAAATTATTACAGAACATAACCTAATCGAACTATTTTTCACTTTATAGAGCTATTTGTCTTCCTCTGCGCCAAATAAAATTAAATTCCCCTCATTTCGGAATAATAGAAGCAGCAAAATGTTTACGGATTCGCGAAACTATCTGGCCCTTAGGGCAAACTACAGTGAAAACGATAATATTAACAGTAAACTCGATAAAACACCATACCAATGTTTATCAAAACCCATTCCAGACTACGTACACCTTATCCAAAAGCACTTAAAACTCCCTTACACCCGATCGAAGAATCCTTTCCCTCAGACACAGATCTAAAGCTTCTCTAATATCCTGGCTGGAATTCTATCCTGATAGCACCGGTACCTATTACCATCTACTAACCCTGATCCACAGAGGTCCATATAGATTCGAACACGCGGGACATTATCGTCCAATAAATCCCCGCCGATTGCACTATCCGCGATTCCATCGTTCGATTTCCCACGAACTGGTCTCGTTGAAGCCCTTTTCAACGCGAGGCGTCCGTATAAAAGCGTTCGTCCGGTTAAAGCGATAACAGTGCAAATAACGGAGCTGGTGGTGGTTACAGAGAGCGACAAGAGGGTGGTGGTGAAGCGAGAGGCCGGGGGTGAGTTCGGTTTCCGTATTCACGGCTCGAAACCGGTGGTGGTGTCAGCGATCGAGCCGGACACCCCGGCGGAGAGCTCGGGCCTGGAAGTCGGGGACATCATAATGGCGGTGAACGGGAAGAGCGAGATGGACGCGACTCATTCGGAGGTGGTGAGGCTGGCGCACTCGGGCACCGACGTCCTTGAACTCGAGGTGGCGAGGACCTGCAACGTGCTGGCACCGCGAGTCGCCAGGCCAGGGACGAAAGAAGGCAGCGACGAGGCACCTATCTGTTCCGGTTACCTGTGGCGGAAGTCCGCGACCTCGTCGAACACGGACAAGTGGGTGCGCAGGTGGTTCGCCCTGCGACGCGACAACTGCCTCTACTATTACAAGACTGACGCGGTTAGTGTCGTTACATACTTTTCTTCTTTTCAATCATTTTTTAGTTACTTTTTATAAAAGTAGGTATTTTCTTAATATATAGAGTGAATATTTACAAATGAATATTTACAATATATAGAGCAATATTTACATTTATTATATATATATAGAGTGAATACTTACAATTCACTCATAGTGAAATTGTGAATTGTGAATAGTGAATTGTAAATATTCACACATATATAGAGTGAATATTTACAAATGAATATTTATAATATATAAAGCAATATTTACAATTTGTAATTAGAAACCTATGTTTTCTGTTAAAATTACTTGTGTGAATTTTGAGACATCCATTATAAGCATTATAAGCAAACTTCTCACTATATTTCTTCCTGTAAGTAGTATAAATACTGTCTTTAGTATTACAAGACTGACGTGGTTAAGGATTATACTCTTTGCTTTTTTAAATATATTTCTTTCTTTTCTTACTTTTGTTTTTATTTCATTTATTCTGGAAAATCCAAAGGCTTACTTCTTTTGAATCATTTTTAAATAACTTTTTATTAAAGTCAATATATATTTTCTGGTATAAATATAAGCAAATTGACTTCTCGCTCTATTTCTTCGCTGTAACTTGTATAAAAACTGACTATTATAAACTTCACTGTTATAAAATTGACGCTGTTAGTGTGGTTATATTCTCTGCTTCTTTTTGGATATTCTTTTTTCTCTCTTGTTTTTGTTTTCATTTGAGATTGAAAATGGAGAGGCTTACTTTCTTTAGATCATTTTTAAGTAGTTTTTCATGGTGATAAGTATAGATTTTCTTGTATATATACTACTTTTATTTTTCTAATCGTGTCACTTTCCTTATTTTTATTAGTGTACATTATATTATATACTATACATTATGATTTGATAATTCTAATATCAAATAAAATATACAGTTCATATTAATTTAGTACTAGATATAAATACGATCGAGATATAAATAACTCGAATCAGAATAGCTTTAATCGAGGAAATCGATTTTTACTCATTTTAGTGTATCCTATTTTAGTAATTTAATGTCAAATATAAGAAACGCGAGTCAAATCACTTCCCAACTTTAATATCTCATTATATCAAACCACATTATACACATTTTCACTCATAGCTTTAAAAAAGCCTTTTGTTTCTCATAAAAAAAATTCGTGGAACGTAAATTCTTACTTCTTCAAAATCATCTAGTAACTTTTCACGAGGTTAAACACATACTTCCTCGCATAAACATAAACAAACTGATTTCTCTATATATTTCTTCGCTGTAACTGCCATAAATAACGCTTTTACAAGACTGCACGAAACGCCGCATACGTCAGTGAAAAACGACCGCACTCATTACTCACCCTGATACATCGAAAGCCTGTAAACCTTGGATACCCGTCGTTAACCAAACGAAAAGTCACACGCCCACACCTCCGGGTCTCTCGGAACCCATTTAACCGATATTCCTTCCGGTGAATAGCGTCTATCGACACGACGAGTGTTTACACGTATCTCGTTAGCACGAAAAATGGTTCACCAGACCACGATTCCGTTCTCATAGGACTCACAGCCAGTCGGGGCGGTGATGCTGATAAAATATGACGTGGAGCAAACCCCCGAGCTGAGGTTACACAGCTTCGCGATCAAGAAACAGGGTGCACCAACGCTGAGACTCGCGGCAGACACCGAGGACGCGGGCGCTCGATGGACAACGGTCATCAAGGAAGCCATTGAGAGAAACGACCAGGTAAATGTTGCCGATGAGGCGAGGAATTATGCCATGCCTGAGTTCAGAAATATTTTGACTTCTTTTATTAAATCCTGTAGAAGTATTTGGATCTTTGTTCTTATGTCGTTTAGAAAAATTTGGATTCTTATTATCACTGTGGTTATATTGCATGGAGTTTAGAAATAATAAAAGAAGTCGAAATATTGCCAAACTAATTTTTAATAAAGATCCAAATTTTGTTAAACGATGTAACAACAAAAATCCAAATACCTCTGCAGGATTTAGTAATATAATAAAATAAATCCTGTAGTGTTGGATTTTTGTTATATCGTTTAAAAAAATTTGGATATTTACTATCACTGAAGTTATATAGCTTGGGAGTATTTGATTTTTAATGTTAATTATTGCATCATTTGGAAATATTTGAATTTTTTAAGTACTAGATTTAAACGAAAAGGTTTTGATGACTATTATATTTGGTAAATGTTGTGGATGAGTTGAAGAATTATGCGATATCTGAGTTTAAAAATAAGAAAAGAAGTCAAAATATTTCCAAACTAATTTCTAATAAAAATCCAAATTTTTTTTTTGTATAAAAGGAGACAAAATAAATCCTGCAGAGGTATTTAGATTTTTGGTATGGCTGAAGTCATATAGCTTGGAAGTATTTGGATTTTTATTGTTAATTATTGCGTCATTTAGAAATGTTTGGATTTTTATTATTCAGTATTGGATTTAAAAGAAAATATTTTGGGAACTATTATGTCCGATAAATGTTGCGAATGAGTCAAGGAATTATGCGATGTCTAGATTCAGAAATATTTTGACTACTTTTGTTAAGTCCTGCAGAAGTATTTGAAAAAAATTTATATTCTTATCACTGTAATTGCATAGCTTGGAAGTATTTGGATTTTTATTATTAATTACGTCATTTAGAAATTTTTGGATTTTTATTATTCAGTACTGGATTTTAAAAAAACATTTTGATGACTATTATATCCAGTAAATGTTGTGGATGAGTTGAGAAATTATGCGATGCCTGAATTCAGAAATCTTTTGACTTCTTTTATTATGTCCTGCAGAGGTATTTCGATTTTTATTCTTACATCGTTTAAAAAAATTTGGATTCTTATTATCACTGTAATTATATAGCTTGGAAGTATTTACATTTTTATTATTATGATTGGGACACTTTTCCGAATAAAACGTACTTTAAATTATAAATCAAATGAACTGTGATAATGTCATAATCATATTTCGATTTTTACGGTTATACGCATTGGAAATGTAATAATAGGGAGACGAACGAGATATGAGAGGAGGAAGGATATTATAACAGGAAAAACCAATGTTTGCATATGGATTATGCTTATAATATGAAATAACAATATCACGATTATAAGAAACTGAAGATATCGAATGAAATATATTTATTTCATAGATTTAAAAATTTGCATAAAGATCTATCTTACTCGGAATCTTCACCTAAAATAAAAATTTAATTAAATTTTCTTAAACAGATATGCAAGAATTATGTAAATGTAACAATTGACAAGGTATTCTTATGATCCTCGGTAGACAGTTTTGGTAATATCTTTGTTGCTCTGTGTGGGTAAAAAGGCTTCAAGAATTTAAGGAAACGACGAAGGTCTGAGGCTTTGTAAGTTCAAGAAAATGAGATTCGTTTTAAATTCTCCAAGTTTGGCTATCTGCCTGTTGGAGTAGCTTCAGTGGATTAGTTGCTGGGACTTCTGAATACCTTCAGAAAAATTATACCGTTCGATTATCGTCGTTCTGTTCCCACGAAATTTTGTACAACACGATTCTTCGACATAATTGCACTCGATTTTTGAATATTTAATAAAACAGTAATTGGATTTTTTCGTGATAAGAAATTATTTGGGTTAACGAAAAATAAATGGCAATCGTGAAGGAATTGCAGTTCAGATACGTTAATGGAAATTATAAAAGGAATAAAACATCAATCTGCTAAAATTTCTCTTTATATTATGATTTTATTAAACAAATTTTTAATTCTAAACTTCTCTATTATAGGATTTTTATTATCTTTTTAATAATAATTTTATTTTTATTATTCACATATAATATATAAATTTCTAACAAATTCATACGATATATTGAACGATGATGTTTAAAGTCACGTATTTCCAAAATTTCTCCCATAATTTCGTTATTCAAATTCAGGTATTTCATTGGAATTTAATTTACTGTCATGTAAAAATTCCAATGATATTTTATCAAAATTTCTATTCACGTTTTAAATATAAATAGTTAAATAACTGGTAATTTGTTAATAAAAAATTTAAATTAAAAAATTCGTTGACATCCCATATAATACTAATTATTATTTCTTAAATGCTTGTATTTCCTAATTATCTAACTCAATTCTACTATAAATTAATATTCTACGACAAAAAGTTACACTATAGTCTCCTAAAGCAGCTCAATATTTACTCACAGTCTCCTATCAGTACCAAAATTCATCCAACGATCCATCTAGTCCACTTTTCGCACGCAAAAATAATTTCATTAATGCCGAGGCATCGGTGATACATTCTACTAAAAATAAATTGCCGTTCATAACGAAAAATATTTTCAACGAACTAAACTCACAATAATAATAATTACCAATTTAACTCCTTTAAAATGTATTTATATCCGTATCTTCCAAAACATCAACTTCTTCCACTTTTCATCTCGATATATTACTAAACATCGCGATTATTTATTTAATCGATAATAGATCAGAAATTAAAATACAGAAATTTTTTCACCGATTTTCGTAAAATAATTTAGTTCTTAAACTTCGGATCTTAGATCATTTTTATATAAATGTGTATAAAGGCGAATGTTCTCAGGAGGTTAAAAATTAATAATTAATTTAATAATTGATAATTAATTTTGCCTTCGACACGTTTCACAGGTTGACACCTGGCTGGAAGCGTCGCTGAGAATGCGTGAAATGGCGGCGTGCGCCATTCACAGACCAGATTGCTTTGGATACCTGAGCAAGCAGCAGGAACATGCGAAGAAAACGTCCTCTCCAACCGGTTGGTCCAGGCGATATTGCGTGCTAAAAGACGCCGCATTGTATTTCTACGACGACGCTAATGCGGAGAAGGCGTTCGGTGTCGCCTGTCTTCATGGCTTCAGGGTGCACAGCAGCGCGCCCACTTCCGGTGGCAGGAAACACGCGTTCGAGCTGCAGCCACCGGACCCCACGCAGAGGAGTTACATCTTTGCCACGGAATCTGAAATGGACAAGAAACGGTAAGTCATGCTACCTGTTTCAATTATTAAATTAATTTCTTTTCCTTTTTATGTTCTTATGGGATTATTACTCTAGGTATTATTATTCTAGTTTCGTTAATTTATTACTTCCTTGTTATATTATAATTTATTTATTATTTCTTATGTCAGGATTTGTTTGTTTCCTCTTGTATATTGTTACTTTTATTACTTTAATTTCTTCGTATTTTTATTGATTTATTTACTATTCTAATTAAAGTATTATTAATTATTTGACATATTAGAATGGTTGAAACAGGATATTAAATCTTCGTTAAATTAATTTCTTTTTTTTCTTATATTCTTGTGGTATTATTATTTTATTACTTTTTCTAGTTTAATTAATTTATTATTTTTTCTGTCGGGATTAATTTGTTTCCCTTTATATATTGTTATTTTTATTACTTCAATTTCTTCGTATCTTTATTGATTTATTTACTATTCCAATTAAAGTATTATTAATTATTTGACATATTAGACTGATTGAAACAGGATATTAAATCTTCGTTAAATTAATTTCTTTTTCTTCTATTCTTGTGGGATTATTACTCTAGGTATTATTATTCCAGTTTCGTTAATTTATTACTTCTTTGTTATATTATAATTTATTTATTATTTCTTATTTCAGGATTAGTTTGTTTCCTCTTGTATATTCTTACTTTTATTACTTTAATTTCTACGTATTTTTATTGATTTATTTACTATTCTAATTGAAGTATTATTAATTATTTGACATATTAAAATAATTGAAGTGGGATATTAAATCTTCGTTAAATCAATTTCTTTTTCTTCTTATATTCTTGTGGTATTATTTTATTACTTTTTCTAGTTTAATTTATTTATTATTTCTTCTCTCAGGATTAGTTTATTTCCTCTTGTATATTATTATTTTTGTTACTCCAATTTCTTCGTATCTTTATTGATTTATGTACTATTCTAATTAAAGTATTATTAATTATTTGACATATTAGAATGATTGAAATAGGTTAATAAATCTTCATCTATCTGCATCTATTCCTGTCTGGAATATGAAAAATGTCTCAGTTTCTTTTATATTCCGGAATTATTGGCAGTCATGATTATTATATGAGAAGCTCCTATAAATTTTAATATAGTTTTGCCATTTTTAGTATCGCTATAATAGCTTCAATTATATTTGAAGATTGTTACGCCATAAAAGAAATTAAATTAAATTAGAAAACTTATTTTTAAAAAAAAAGTATCAATTTTTAAATAACACGATTTATATTTGTACATTTGATATTTGAAATTTTTAATTGCCCACGTTCCCTCTATTTTTAATAAATATTTATACACCAAGTAAATATTTAAGAAACGAGTATTATCAAATTTGAATTCAAATCCCGAGAATCATCGATCAATTTTCTATTCTGGTTTTAATAATCTTCAATTACTTCAATTTTTAATCAAACTGGATTAAATTTTTAATTAATTGTTAAAAGAATATACTTTATAATTTTCGCATCTCCGACGAAAAATTCTAATAATTTTCCAATACTATAATATCGACGTAGAAGATGACTTTAGCATCTCGAGTTCAAATGAAATTTATTTGGAACAAGCGACTGCGTTTGCTCGCAATTAATTATTTAATTCTTATTAATTAATTATTGGAATAAGATACTTTATAATTTTCGCATCTCCGACGAAAAATTCTAATAATTTTCCAATACTATAATATCGACGTAGAAGATGACTTTAGCATCTCGAGTTCAAATGAAATTTATTTGGAACAAGCGACTGCGTTTGCTCGCAATTAATTATTTAATTCTTATTAATTAATTATCGAAAGAATATATATTATAATTTTCGCTTCTCCGACGAAAAGTTATAATAATTTTCCAATACTATAATATCGACGTAGAAGATGACTTTAGCATCTCGAGTTCAAACGAATTTTATTTGGAACAAGCGACTGTGTTTGCTTGCAGATGGCTGGCAGCGCTCGAATATTCGATTGATAGATGGATAAAGATTGGTTGACAAAGGCCGACCTACCGTACAAAGAAGCAAAGAAGTCGAAGCAGCGAAGATCCTTTGAGATGTCCTTCGCCTCTTCCTGTTTCCGGTTCCTAACGAACATTGTCGCAAATCAGAAACTCATCGATCACTGTCGCCATCATCGCCTCGATTGTCGTTCGCAAATTCATCGCGTGGATCATGTCGCAGATACTCTTCAAATTCGCGATTCTTCAGAGATCTTGAACCACTTCGTTAGCGTTACAACCATTGTTTTCACTTTCATTTGAGAAACCTCATCGGGATCATCGACAGAATACATGAATTATTTATTTCGAGGTCACTCGAGTAATTAACTTAGGATTAATATAACGTACTTTAAAATCTGCCATATTTTTTGCTATTAGAAATATTCTTTTCTAATCGCAAATTTCTTCGAACATAAGTCAGTGTAAACGTGTTGCTGTTTAATTACCGAACAACGTCGGAAACATCGTGAAGAATTCATTCTTAAGCGCTCTTGACGACTTCGATTTTCTACACATTTCCGTGAATTATCCTTTATTGTATAAATTTCAATTATTCTGCTGTGTACTCCCAAGTTTCGTCTTCTAGCTGTTTATATATATATATATTTCAATTTCTCACTGAATTTCGTCGATCTCGTTATTACCAGTGACTCTGATGCTCGATTCACCAACTTCGTCTCTTAGCGTCACGAACACCATTTTGTAATAATTACTGGTTGTCAAAAGCGTTGTATTTGTCGGAGATTAAATACTCGTTGACGTAATCGATACTTGAAGCAATGTTTCTCAAGAGGTATTATAATTAGAACACTTAATAGCTGTGCTTTTAATTTTCTTCGGATTCTAGAAAATATTTGTGTTCCATTATCGTACACTGTTCAAAGTAATTTAATAATTGCCTGCTCGAATGAATTGGACTGTTTATTAAAGCACTCGGTGAAAGCAACGGAAGAATCTTGACTTAACAAATCTAGAAGAGTAGTAAAAGAGTACAGAGTGGCAGGAAGAAAGGGTCAAAGATTTTAATCGCTTGAGTACTCGCTAAGAGAAATATAAAATATTTAACAAACATAGGCTCTACATTTAATCCTTCCAACTCAGGATCAACTTTTATTACTTACAATTATTCGATATCAGTGTGTATGTGTGTGCATGCGTGAGTTTCTTCGCACACATTGAATTAAACGGAGGAATTGATTCAGAGGTATATAGAGGGTGACTGTAAGACCTATATTTAATTAGATATATTTTATTTCTCTTATTTAGTACTGCAAGCTTTAAAAGTCTTTGACCCTGATCTTTGTACCACTAGGTACAGTAAATATTTTCTCCAGAGTATAGTATAAATGTGAAAAGAATGAGATGGAATAGGATTTCCTTATCAGAGGAGAAGCTCAATGAAGGAGATGTTATATATTTTGCTCATTCCAAAAATGTAATGTAATTTCTTAATTACTTTGGACAGGATATATTTCTATAGAGTCATGTTATACATGTACACGATATTTCACTTATAAGAACGTACATAGGCTATAAGGGTACAACTAGATTTAATTTCCTTAGATTTTTATATTACACCCCTAACCAACGTTTATTTCAAACGAAACTCACTCTCACTGTCATTAAGGTAATTAAGATGATCTAGTGTTCGTTGAATGTCGACTAACTAGTGTCACGATCTAGATCACGAACGATCACGTACGAATAAAACGATCCAACTTCAGAGTCCCTTTCATTTTCCTACAAAAATACAACGCACAATTTTTACCGTTTGTATAATCGTTACTTTTTCGATAATAATGCTCACCGACGTATAAAGATTCGAACATCGTACGAGAATAAGCGAATAGTAGCTACAACATCGTTCAAAACGGCGAACAGAGCTTGAGAAACGCTGTTTCAAGTAGCTAGTCCCAATATCGAGTCGGACAAATTTGATCGTGATAGAACTCCATTTATTTCCATTGGCATTTACTGAAACGAAGTTTCTCTCGATGCGCCATTTGCTAGAATTCTGCCGACCTCTTGTGATCTGAAATACTGCCGAGTGTCACTTCAATTAAATAAACGCTTACAAATTTGATTCCACTGGTGAATTTGGTCCTTTGATGAAAGAACGTGGAAGGTATAGAAACTATATAGAAACTATTATAGGCAGCAAACGTTTAATCGTTAAAATTTGGACCCTGATTCGATCGAAAAAATTATTAAAAATTGCGAAGTAAAATATACAATATCTACAATATTTAATATTTAAGTATCTATTATTTAATAACAAAGTGAAATTGAATATGTAATATTTAAATATCAAGTATTAAATACATCATAGATACTTGATATTTAAATATCACTGAAATTTAATATTTAAATACCAATATTATTAAATGTCTAAGTATCTGTAATATATGATATTGGAATATATACGTCAAATATCAAATCTAACATAATATTCGGTATTTAAATATTAAATATTACAAAAGCGTTATATTATTAATTATTATAGATTTATTTTCAATTCAATATATTTATGTTAAATATTATAAAGAGTAAAGAAAATCAAGGATCTATCACTGTACGAATTGATCTAATCTGTTGAAAGCTTGAATGGGTTCTGATAAATGGAGTTCTACCCGTGATCTTCGCGACTTAGCAGATTTTTGTATTGTTAATCAGCTTTTGGATTCCGTTTTTGTATACAAACGTTGCATACTTTACCAACACACAGGAATTGATATCACACACTCGACAAGCGTGGAACAACAAAACCAAGGGGTACGAGAATTGTTTATTCACCGATTGTGTCTTGTATTAATTAGAACGACTCCCACCGATTTTTCTCTTACAGTACTAGGAATCGATTTAGCTTTTAAGAGGGTTCAAACTGTCGTCCACTGCGTTTTCACGAATTCCCATCGGAGCTGAAGCTCTCGAACATCCTTGCGGGGAACGTTTCCCGAAATGCGTTTGTTTGTATGTAATTTAATCGTTCAAGAAATCATCGTCGACGAGTAAATACTTGGACTAAGGTTATTGTAACGTTTGCCGAGATATGCGAGGTCGATTTGTTCTGTCGTTCGAGTTGTGCTTGTTTTTAGAACTTTAAGTAACCATATTGTCTACACAGTCGAGTGAACAAGTATCGTTTAAAGTATAAGAATCGTGAATAGTTAGCAACATTCGTGGATTAGAGTCAGGTAAGGAATAAGATAACGATGCATTTATTTCGGATAAAGTTTTCATTCGTGCAGAACGAATGAAATCTTTGGATGATTCCTCGCCCGTGAGAATGATCGAAGGTTCATTCGAATAAAATGAAAAGAATTATTTATTTAACGAAACTAGCTATAAAATTGCAATCTTTATAATTTAGGTATAGAATTTTGTATTTAGGTTGCGATTCGAAAAATTTGTTTAGATGTCAGATTATGTCAAATAATAATTCAGCTTTTAAATTATTTTTCCTCAATTTCAGAATTTTCTGTGGCAAAATATGAAGTCATACTGACAGAGATAATATACAAATTTGTATAATTTAAAAAGGTAACTTAAAATAATGGTAAAGATAAAAATCCAATGAGTAAGATAAGATAGGTAAATGAATATACATTTTAAATTGATCTACGTGACAATGCCAAAATTTTCAAACATGTAAAATTAAAGCATATTTCTCGCATTATTATTATCCAAGGAATAAAAAGAAGTCAATGAAAATCTTAAACAAAATATATAAATTAAATCAGGAAAGTTTGGACCAAGCAAAACTCTAACAGAGTGAATATGAAATCGAAGAAGGTTCAAAATCACTGAAAAAATCAAAAATCAAAATAAATATACCAAACATAAGAAAAATCTGGAAAAATCATAAAATTCTTCGAGTAACCTTCGAAAAATATCATCCAAAAATATCAATAAATAACGAGAATCACAAGAAAGTTGTCCACATCTCCAAGTAACCTTCGATCATATCAAAATCTTAAAAGCAAAACCAAAAACAAAAATCAAATACAAAAACCACAACGTTACAAAGGTTTATACAAGAATTATAATTCTTCAAACAACCTTCAATTACGTGAACACGTCGAACAAACAAAGAATAATAATAAATAAATAAATAAACAAATAAAAAGGAAACATAATAAAAATATCTCACGAGCGAGGAAAATCCTTCATCAATTGGTTATCTTAATTACCCAGCAACCACCCGTGCTCGCGCGTAAGTACCATGGAATTGTCACTGAGTCGATATTCTTACCAATATTTGTATCGATATAGCGAACCACGTGAACCCAAACGAAGAATCGGAACGATGAAATTGCTCCTAGAACCAACGACGAACCCAAGAGAGGAACAGTCCCGAGCATCGAAATCGACAAAGAAGAGTATATTCAACGAGGAAACGCGCGAACGATCGAGTCGATCGCGACTGCAGGGAACCGACTGCAGCGCCTCCCGGCGGCGGAGCGCGGAAGAGGAACGAGGTGGAACGAAGGATCACGTGAAGTGATCATACGTCGCGTTCGCGACGCGAGTCGAGAGCTACGAGATTGAACGACAGACCGCTCAAAAAGAAAAAAAAGCACAGATAATAAAATAGGAAGTTTAATACAATTGTAGAATGAAGTGCGTCAATTATTTACCTGTCACCCTTCGAGCTGGTTTGAAGGACGTTGGTTTTATTGCTGTTTAGATGATGCAGTGTCTTTTCCCGTGGTAAGGGAATCCCCTTACCGGCGAGAAAGCCGGACAGCGGTCGCTTTTCTTGACCAAAAAATCGACGTTTTCTTTCGTATGTACTTGGCATGTTTTACGAGAATGGAAATTCGTTCAATAATGTATCTTTCGTCGTGGATAGCTTTTTCTTCTCTTTTTATTAGATTGTATTAAGAGTATCGTGTAGGATTTTTGTTCGTGACATTTTCAATGTTTGATGTTAAAATTTAAAATTAATTTAGGAAGTTAGCGTTAAGAGTAGGATTTTTGTCTTCGTTTACTGTCTGAAAGAGTGGTCGGTTTTAGAGATAGAGGTATATATATACTTGGTTTGTTTGTAGGTGTATGTGTTTGTAATGGGTTGAAGTATGAATAACTATGGGAGTTACGATATGTTCATTGTCGACGAAGTAATTGTAGGATGTGGTTCGTGAGATTATGATTTGATTAGGTGTTCGATGAAGCTATAGAGTGAGTCGTGTAATTTCAGTTGTCACTTATTTAATTGAGAATTGAAAAATTTGAGGAGGTTTGGAAAATTAAAATTTTTGATTTATTTATTTTTTTTTTGTTTCTGTTTTTGAGATAAGATTTGTATATATATATATATTTATACATATGTTATATATTATAATTAATACATAATAATAACTAGTATATAGATAAATTATACTTTATTATTAACGATATTATATTGCTATTTAAAGAAAATTATTGTAGACGATTAAATCACTTAAGAATTTTTTTGAACTTGGTATATTTTTATTAGGATTTTGGAAATGGTATATCGATCCAAATATACGATTCACTCTATAGATCAATGAAAGACCTCTCTCTGAAAAGTAAAAAAGCGC